TCTCTCTCTCTCTCTCTCTCTCTCTCTCTCTCCTGCTACTGACTGCAGTGCGATGTTATCTCAGAATATGATCCGGTGGAGGTGCCGCGTGAAGGAGCAGCTGAACTCATGGAAATAGCTTGGAGAATGAGCTGAAGGAGGCGCGATACGAAGAAGCTGCTCAACCAGAGCTCTCTTCGGTCTCATGTTTGCACGACTACTTGAAGTTAGTTGAGCTACTTCTCAAGCTTAGATTAGCAGAAGAATTCACTTGCAGATATGTTCATTACTGGTCTTTGTTAGTTGGATCTCCGAGGTTTAGTAACAATGTATCGGGTATGCTATCTTGTAGTTATATTGTTGTTTGTTACTCGTAGTGTCGGTGCTATGATGTAAAGATCAACTACCGATAGTTGCATGATAAATGACCCCATAACCAGTGGTATTCAAATTGAACCAAAAATTCAAAGCAAACCAAAAATGAAATGATTCATATTCGGATCGAACCAATTTTAATTTAAAAAAATATTAACTTAATCAAATTCACTATCTTAAGGGTATTTGTTAAACAAACCAGTCCAACAACACAAGTAACGATATTGATCTAATTTCAATGACATAAATGATGTGAGTTCAATTTCACAAATCGAATTGGATTATGATTTCCATTTGATTCACCTAATTAAATCAATTTAAAAAAAAATATTTTTAAAATTATAAACAATTGAACTGGATTAATTACCTTTAAGCGAAATGGTTCCAGATCAAACCTACCTTACTTTAATTGAACCAAGTAACCAAACCAGAAACAGATTCAATTCAGATCAACCCTATAATAGTTTAATTCAAACATATTTTAACACCCCAATCCGCAACAGTTTCAGTTGTTTAGCTACAATTAAATACAGGAATAAAACAGTTGATGCAAGATTTTGATGAATGCCAATACCACAAAGGAATTTATAAGAGGATTCATGAGAGCTTATCAGAGAATTAACAAAAGACCATTATAAATTATCAATATAAGAACCCAAAATCTTCGTTCTTTCTCACCTTCGAACCCCAATCTTGTGCTCAGAACAGGGTTCGATCTTATTATAGCAAGTACACTCGAGTGTTCCTATAATGATAACATCATCAGCATTCACCATCTGAGTACAACTTAAACATAACCCAAGGCATTTGGATTTCATAAAATACAACATAACCATGTCCACTTATTTGCACTAGTTTGATACGGACTTGTCTTTGGATCAAGATTAGTGCTAAAAAGTGCCCCTCGGTAATAAATCAGTGCGCGAATGCATCTCTCAGATCTCAAAAGCTGCTGAAGCTGAAAAATATTACAGCATTGAATCTGTTGTACTCGACATTAGGCTTCATGGATACAAGGGAGCTTCATGCCCCGCATGCAGCTTGTAATCTAACCATAACAAGGACTTTGCACTCTGCTGCTTTACCTAGTAACTTGTATATTGCAAACAAAAGCAACTAATGAACCATTATTTGCATAGAATCCTACTCTTTCGAGATCATGACCAAACAGGTGCATTACCTATTTGCTGCTTTGAACTGAAGGGGTACGCCAAGATAGCTCAATGCTCCATGTTTGAAGGAAAAAGAAGGTTTCCAATTCTCCCAACAGACTATCCATATCAAATGCAGTGCTTCTCATCAAAACCATCTACTGAGAGCAGATCCGTTATAAGGGCATTAAGCCTCTGAGCACCTGCCCCAGGCCTGAGCTCAGTGACGGTCCGCACTGTGTAGTGTGGATCATCACTAGTATTAGTCTTCAATGCGTCGCACCATGCACTAGGTACAAAACCATCAGGATCACGGCCTAACAGCGCCTCGTCAATCTTGTCGAGGACTGGGTCATCTCTGCCGAACTTCCGCGCAAATGGAGCATTGCTATCGACCATTCTTGTGAAGTCATCTAGGGTGAGAAAGTGAGGGTGCTGCTTCGGAGGGTTATCCCAAGAAATGAAATGAAGGTCATGGTTGACAGTGGTGTTGCGGAACTCGGGAACATTGCAGATGACGGTGTGAAAGTAGCCCTCAGGAGATGACAAAAAGTTTGCATAGTACATTAGAACTGTTCTTGGAAGGTTGTCCCACCCCCACAAACAGAACTCGATGAACTGATGAGAAACCATCATCCAAGCAGAGCCTGCAAAGAAATCAACCGTTAATGAGACAATTGCAAGTATATTCACACTAGTTCTACACCATTAGCATGTGGTGTCTGCTATATGGACGTTTTGTTTGTGACATAATCAGAGAAGGATTCATATATTTCATTTATAAACTACAAGATCTACTTGATGCATAATCCTGTGTTAAACCCCACAAACGTTATGCAAAGGTTAAGTGGTATGGAAGCATCAACATCTCAGGGTATGGAATGAATATTTTGACCTTATATTCAGTCTTTTTTCTTTCCCACCATCTGAGATACATGAACTAGTACAGTCTTCCATGAGTTGCAAACAGATGGATGCTTTATCAAATTTGGAAAGGGCATGCACAAACTAGAAACTGAATGCCAAGATAAGATGGGTTCTGATCCATAAAAATATCCACTTTCAGTATTGAAGAAAATAATATCTGTAAGGTCATTCAAACTACATTATCTGAGTACACCTTACAAGTTAACACCTCCACAAGACAACACATCAGAAATGTAGAAGTACATATCTCCAGTCTTGACCATTGGTTATCGGGCACAGGTGGTGCACTTGTCTGATTAAATAGTTTTACAATAAGTTCTTTGAACATACAAAAAGTCCAGTGTGTTAAATGACATGCAAATTCTTTAGATGACAAAATGAGTATCAAATTCACATTGGTGAAATCTACTTATTTTTCCAACATAAGATGAGCTGGATTTCAAGTATATCACAGCATAGGTAAGCTAATTATTCCACAAAGATAAGGCAAGTAGAAGAAAAAGAAGGTGAAAACAAACATAATCCGGAGTCCAATAAGAATCAAACAGCTTGGAGATCATGGTTCCATTTATCAAGTCATATTATCTGACCCTATATGAAACATTTCGTGTTTTGGGTATATTATCCATCTTTGTTCAAGAATTGGTTGACACGCTGAATATGTTTCCAAATCATTACTTACAACTAGACACTCATTATTACAGATGATGTTCATCACATGGAAAAGTAATTATGATAATGATTGTACAGAAGGGGAGATAAAAGTAGGCTAGAAGCAGGTATGAGAAACATGTAATAGATCTTAGTAACATGAACTATAATATGAGACTTTAACATTAGTTTCAACTGTAGATCAATCTGCTCTCTCCATCTTTTCACTTGCTTCCTATAGCATTCACTAATGAAGATTCATGTGCATACCATTCGTTAGTTTCTTGAACCAAATACTTAAAAACAAGCTAAAGAATACAGTCGGTCAAGTTCCACAGAGAGGAATTGCACTTTGCAGTATAGACAGTTTACATTAAAATATTCAACAAAATATAATCAGGCACAAACAGAGAATACATAAAGAAGACATAAAAAGAGATATTAAAGTTATGGAGTGGCGTTTATACTCTTTAACAAATTATTGAAGTGATAAGATGCAAGAATCACAGAAAAGCAAATGCAATCATAGTTATTATCATCAATTATTTAATTACAATAATATAATGGTAAAAATAATAGCAACAAGGATATACTAAATAAGCAATCACTTTTTCATGCTTATGCGACCACAAAATATGTAGGTGGTTGTTCACATGGACTATGTATATGGCTGCTTATGTGGTATTGAAGCCAAGACCACATACGCATATGCAAGCATGGGCTAAATAATTTTTTCGAACATAGCTAGCAACTAATATAAGAATCTTAGAAATGTGAACTATATGCAACAACTAGTTCCTATACTTGTCAGACAACATACTATAAAAAGTGGGAACATACTTGGGAATCAACACATGTTTCTGCCTCGTGGAAGCATGTAACACATGGAAATGGCAAAAGAAAAGATAATATTAGATCACAAGAAACACAGAGTTTACATAGCTTGGCTCTAACTATTATATATGTGGCGTTGCAAGAGTCCACTTGTTATCCAACTAGTGGTACATTACTTTCGAGGAGAAACTAACAAGCTAGGGCTTTAAGATACGAGAATGAAGTACACCACGCTGAAGAAAAGAAGCACGGACAATCAGTTTCGTCACCAACCCATTTGGTGTGACTGGCTATGACCTTCTGAGCCTGAGACTTCATGGGGAAGAGTTGGCTCCTTGGGTCAGACTATCCCATATGTGTTGTCTGACTTTCTTCTTCTCCGAAGGTTACTTGACCTAGCCTTCTACCCGGATGGAGGTGCTTTCTGAGCCAGACCTTAAGCAATTTGCCTTAGCCCATAAATACTGAATACGAGTATCCTAAAGCAAGGGTGAAAGAAATGAATAACGCACTAAGTTCAATGTCAATTTCTTTTCAGAGCCGACCTTTGATATCTGCTCCTTAGTCACCTAGATTACAATTTTCTATACTATGCGAGTGAGAAGAATTGACATAACTCTGTAAGCGCAACAAGCAAGCAACTACCATCAGATCTGATTCAGTGTTCTATGCATAGCTTGATATAACTGCCAAAAAATGGCCAATCCAAGAAAGCCATGTCACAGGCTAAACTGCCAAAGTCTCCCCACACACAGGGGTACATCCTGTGTGATAACTCCATTTTCCCCAAGTAAGACTTCAAAGATCCATAATTAGTAATGATTGTAACTCATTATATTTCAGTCCAATTAATAAGCTTCCCTTAAGCCTTGAACAAATTTTCTATTTTTCTTGTATATTTACCTTCATCAGATGATAAGCAAACAGTTCAGCTTTGGGTTGCAACAATAACAAAAGCTGGTATTTTTATGGTAAGGTTAGAAAATCATAGATATTGAGGGCACTTGATTTCCAAATACCACTTTCAGCATCCTTTTGTGTTGTCTGCAGTGAACATGTACAGGTTTTAGGCCCAGGATTCTTTGATACAGTTCCTAAACGTGAACCAAAAGATCTAAAGAATTCACCAATCTTGACCAAAATTTGCTAGATTGATTCAGAATCCCCAACAAAACTGAAATCAGTCAGATGGAGCCAAAAAATCCAAAGGATGCTCAGAAATCCCACCAATCCCAGATTCAAGCAAGGCCAATTCCTTGCAATGCCACGATCTACAGGATTCACCAACCTTGATTCGGATATGCTAGATCAATTCAGAACCTCAACAAAATTGAAATCAGTTGGCCCGGAGCCACAAAGTCCAAAAGATGTTCAGGAATCCCCATCATTCTCAGACTGACCTCAATTAATGACAGGCCAGTTCCTTCCAGTCCAACCCCAAGTCATCGCATATTGTCCTAAGTGGCAGTGGATGTTTCTATCATATTCCATGCCAATTCCGTTTGACCTCTATGTACCAAATCCTAGCCCATTCAATTTTTTTTTTCCAGTACTTATCTCATTCCTGATCCCTCAAACAATCTATGATGTGGTCTCATCATTCACAAAACTAAGAATAGAATTTGTGTTAAATTATTTGAGACTGATCAAATAACCTCTTCTTATTTTGGTTAAAAACTTTTCAATGTTTTAAGTATTTTTATATTATTGGGACACCCAAATGCAACTCATAGACATATCCATATCTCAAAAGTTTTGGTAGCAAAACACAGATACAAATACAGTTATATGAGAGCATTGAATAACATAACTATATAAATCTGACAGCCACCTGTTATACATAAAAAATAGTAATCATATGTCACACTGGCATTACTCAACCAACTAATATCATGTACACTATTCCATCGTATCTTGCATGTCAAAGCAGATGGAAAGAAACTGTCAATCTGCCACAACTTCCTAGTTGCAGTAGCAATACATGGTCACCTGAATAACTAGATTGTCATAGTTCCGAGTTTAAGCGGACAATTGCCCACCATGCATGATTGTTTAAATAATCACCAACTAACATGTAACCCACTATGAAAGCATGTTTCATACAAGAAATGCAAACTAGATAAATTATTAGTAAACTATACACATGAAATAATGAGTTAGACCTATACTAGTACCTGTAAAGAGCTTGAATGCAGTGGGCATGCTTCTTTTCTCAGAAACCCAAAATAAATCTGTTTTGTGCATGCTATAAAGCCCAGGGTCTATAATTAAAGGCCTAGCCCTGTGATACCTGCACCACAAATCATAAAATTTACTTCTTAGGAGACCATTACCCGAATGAATCTAAATTGAAAAGCTTCTCCCAGACCAAAGCTCCAATTGGAAAGGCCATATAAAGATCTCAAATAATGAATCAACATAAATCTTACGTACTCCTTCCATCCAATGTCACTAGTGTGCTCTATAAAGTTCAGGTCTCTAGTCAAACTTGACAGTGTGTACAATAGATCTGCCAAAGACAAGAAAATTGAGCATCAAGCAAAATGGAACTGCTATTACATGCAACCAAGAATTGGATGGTATAATAAATCAGTCATTTGAAAACATAACTTCCTTGAACTAGAACCGTTTCCTGAATTGAAAACTACTTAACTTTTTGATAATATTAAAAAATAATCAACGAGATCGACAAAAGGGGATAAAAGAGCTTCAGAAGTTAAGACAACTTATCTATCTAGAAGCAAACAACATATCATTTGATCTATCAAATAAAAAAAATTAAGAGTAACTTCCTACACACAAGGGCCAGTTTGGTTCTCACTAAGAGGTGCTTACAAGAAAGTGTATCCGGTCAAGAATATGAATTTCAATGGTGGAATGATGACATCAAACTAAATGACAGATCACATTGGTAGCTCAATGAGAGGCACCAGATACCTAATTGCAGTACATGTAAACATGTGTTGCCAACAGATGCGCTCTACCCAGATAGCATCTCCCAACAGAGGAATGTGGAAAAGCAAACCCAGCAACCAAATATTCTGTGCAAGGCCTAACCAGCATATGATACCCAACATATTCATTAAATATTTTAAGCGGGGAAAATATCAATTTAGAATTCCAAATTGATGGCAAGAAAGCAAACAAAAAAAATCAGATTGCAGGAACATAATGTATAGAACCAAATTAGGAAAATCCTAATGCGAAGTAGATATAAAAGCCACATCAAATGATTGGGTAACCCATCGTACCGTCCTGGGTGATGAGAGGGTAATCGGAGGCACTGAGATTGATAAACCAGTCCCAGTCGCCGCCCTCCTTGAGGAGGATGGCGGCGGCGTGAAGGGTGTTGGAGACCATCGTGGGCCCACGATAAGTGACGAGGTTGGCTCGGGCGACGACCCTGACGTTGCCGAAACGAGTGTAGACCGGATCGTCTCGGATGACGGTGGCGAGCTCGAGGCGCTCTGCTGCGGAGGCTTCGAGATCGAGGTGGAGCACGTACTGGTTGGCCGGGTGATAGAGCGCGCGGAGGGTCCGGCGGATACTGCCGCCGTCCCCGGCTGAGCCGGAGATAAGGTAAGCAAGGCGGGGGACCGGCCGAGCCGATGCTCCGGACGGTGGCGGGAAGCGGAGCTTGGACTCGACGAAGTGGGGCTCGTCGCCGCCGGGGGAGGGGATCTGGGAAAAGGAAAGGAGGAGGAGAGCATGGCGAGACAAGGAGGAGGCGGCAAAGAAGGGCGACGACGAAGAGAAGACGAAGGCGGAGATGAGGAGGGACGAGATGAAGAAAGAGGCGAGCAGGGGTACCACCCACTTCCGCCGCCGCAGCTGCTGCAGCAGCGGTGGCGGCGGCGGAGATGGCTGTTTCGTCTCCATGGCCCACCAACCACCGGCCTTGGATGGCGCACCACCGGCTGCTTTCGGTTCCGATGGACCGGAATCCGATATCTGTTACTTGTGCGAGCGAGACGGAGAGGGAGAGGGTGTTGGGATCACGCGTGTAGTCGGGCGAGCGGGTCGTGATGAACTGTCGTGCTTCGGTTGGATGGTGGATGAGAGAGCTGCTTTGATGCACGACTTAAGAGACGACAAAGCACGGGAGGCGGTTGTGGCGGCAATCACGTGGCGCGTAGAAAAGCCAGGGCACCTGGTCACGGTGAATCAAGTCGCTGCGCGAAGCATTTTAAAGGTCCCGGTGGGCAATGTCGGAAGTGGTGCGTTTACCTCCCGGGTGTCGGCCACCAATCGGTGACGGGTCCAGATCAAGTGGGACCGGATAGCCAAAATATCGGCCTAAGAGACGACACGTCAACCGATCGTCTTGGAGACATCGCAGATAAAGTCACCCTCTCACCGACCCCCGTCATCATTGTCAGACAGTGCGGGTACTATGCGACCCACCACGGTCTCCCGTAGTAACCCAGGCAATTCATTCTCCGGCGGTCCATTGACGATAAAAAGCTTCGAGCGAATTTCTGGAAAAAAAAATTATTTTTTTGAAATTCTTCACAGAATTTTTTTTTTGAAATAGTGTTTTTTACTAATCATTTTATACTTCCGTCGATTACCCCCTCCGTCCCGCGTCCGCCCAGCCCAGCCCAGCCTAGCCTAGCCCATCAACCATCACCTTTATCGTCGCCGTCGTCGGAACCGAACAGTCGACAACGGTGGTGCTCGATCGAAGCAAGTGGAGGGCAAACCAGCGCGCAATGGAGGGGGGCGGCCAACTCTCGCGCGAGGACTACAGTGGAGGGGGCGATCTCGCACGAAAGAGGGGGGATGCGGGTGACGACGAGCCCTCGCACGAGGGCTACCGCCAGCGGCGGGTAACGATGGGTCACCAGAAGAAAAAAAAAGTAAAATGATCTTTGAAGGACGCGAAAAATAAATATTTTTTAGAAAATTCGTCCAAAAGCTTTCCGCTGTTATTCATCACAAGCGATTCACTCATTCAACTGCACCAGCGTTTTGCCGACATTATCACCACGAAACAGCCCAGCAAAAGCAGATGGCACGCTTTCGAGGCCAGTGGAAATGTCTTCGACTGCTCGCATTCTGTCATGGCGAAGATGGTCGGATGTGGACGATATGAATCCAGCGTACACGTGAAGGTGATCCAAGGCGAGGAACCCGCGGAGTGTGATCCGTTTATAGATCACATCGACCATATCAAGCGCCACTCGCTTGCCAGCGTCCGCGTATTCGGAGATTGCTCCGCATACTGCAACTCTACCAAAGAGGTTCATGTTGGCGACTGCAGCCTCTAACATCGCAGAACCAACGTTGTCGAAGTATATGTCGATTCCTTCCGGGAAGTACCTATTCATAGAAGTAATCAGGAAGTATGAACTGCTGCTTGCAAAGATCGATACAAGATGGGATCTGTCTTACCTTCTAAGAGCAGACTTCAGATCAGGTTCTTCTTTGTAGTTAAACGCGTCATCAAATCCAAGCTTCTCTTTTAGAAGATCCACCTTCGTCTTGCTTCCGGCGCATCCCACGACGTAGCAGCCAGAGAGCTTGGCGTATTGGCCGACCAAACTCCCCACCGAACCGGATGCTGCGGAGACGAAGACCGTCTCCCCCTTCTTCGGCTTGCAGATGTCGTAGAAGCCAGCGTAAGCTGTCAATCCACTCGTCCCTGCGGCAAACAGCAGTGCGTTATGATCAGAGTGTCTCGTGGCCTTCTCCGTCTGTCAATCTTGTGGATCCATTTCCTGCGTCTCTCTGATAATTACCTAAGATGCTCGCATGGTATGACAGCGGGAACTCATGCGGGTCAACCTTGGTCAACGTGGTTCCCGGCCGGACGACCGTGTATTCCTCCCAGGCCAGAAGTCCGACCACCACATCGTCTCTTTCGAACTCCTGGTTCCCTGAGACCACCACCTTCCCCACTCCGAAGGCATCGATTCTCTGTAGCAAAGGTCGCCAGATGCACGCCGAGCTCGTGAAGAAACAAGCTAGCAAACCCAACGAACGACGATAATTAACAGGAAGCTCGCCTGCCCGGGCTGGATGCGTGTTGCAGCAGCAGAGGTCTTCTGTGTGGAACTGTACGTCTTCATGCGGTTGAGCTGGTAGGGATCGATCGACAGGAACAAGTTCTTGACGACTACTTCCTTGGACCCCTGCGCGGCGGAGAGGACAAGCGGTGCGCTCCGGAGCTCGAAGTCGGACTCGTTGGGGAGGCCATCGATGGCGTGCTTGATGATGATGTGCTTGTTCTCCACCTCCATCCTCGCTGCGCTCTCTGTTCTTGCCAATGGCGGCTAGTTAACGATCCCTTGCTGCGTAACGATAAACACGCCAATCTGGCAGATAGAAGAAAGAGTGTCCTCGTCCTTTTATTATTTTAATATTTTTGATATTATATCATTATAATTTTAAATTATAAAAATTATGATAACATGAAGATTCTATCAATAATAAAAATCATAATATCAATATGATTTTCTAAATTATAAAATAATTTAATAAATATTTTATATTGATTATTAATTAAAAATATATATAATTATCATATTTTGTAATCTCTCTTTGTGTATATAAATTCATAGTCACTCTCAATTAAAAAATTAATTAATTATTTTTTCTCATGATATCATAACCATAATTGCTCAAAAGATTTTTTTAATTTTATTTTTACTATTATTTCTTTATACCTTTTCCTTTATCATAGTTAAAGGTAATGCTTTGCTGTACCTATTCTTTCAACTGGTTGAATATAGCATTACAATTTCTATTTAGTTTTATACTTTAATAAACTTTTCTTTTTTATAAGTGCCTTTGCATTTTTTTTTTCTTGACTTTTTGGCATGATCGGTAATAACTCTTCGTATCACCCCCAATTATTTTACTATTGAAAATACTATTGACTCCATTAACATTGCAATCCAAGCTCCTCTCAAACTCATATTCACAAACTATATCTCTTATTATACTTGATTATTTAATCGATTATGATATTATGGGTTAAGTAAATAATATCATCACTTTTCCTCTACAAATGATTAGAGAGAATAATCTTAAGATTATTAATCCTAAATATATTTTTTTAATAGGTCAATATCATTTTTTTAGAAGTGTTATCATTACCTTTCTCTCTCATCAAATTATTCCTTAGTCTCTACAAATTTTTTCTTACGAAGTATAGTCCAAATTTACAATAATATACATCAACCAATCTCGTAGTCACCTAATGCAACTTCTAGAAATTCTTTAAAACTCTAATGATAAAGAGATCATTTTTTTCATGTATTAAATATTCTTGGTCCAAATTATAAGGAGATCTCGTGATAAACTTATAAGTTTTGAAGAATTATGAGACAAGTCAATCGATCATCTCGGGATAACACAGTGAAACTCACTCTCTCTAATACCCCTTTCATCGTCGTCCGATAATGCAGGTACCATGGGACCCACCATTGTCTCCTATCACAATGTAAACAATTCATTCTCCTACTGTACATTATTGACGATAAAAAGATTCGAGTGAATTTTTAGAAAAAATATTTATTTTTTTGAAATTCTTCACATAACATTCATATTTTAAAATAATTAAATATTTTTTAATAATCATTTTATCCTTACTTTAGTTAAACCCTTTACCCAGCCCAGCCCATTAGCCATCGCCTGCATTGTCACCTTCGTCGGAACTCAATAATCAATGATGATGGCGCTCGTTCGATGCCAGTGGAGTGTGAACTTATGCGTGATGAAAGGAGACGATCAACTCTAGCACAAGAGCTATAGTGGAGGGAGCGATCCGCATGAAGAAAGGGACTTGCAAGCTTCGACGAGGATTACGAGCAATGATTGGGATGACAGAGGTAATGATGGGTCCCGTAGAAAAACAAAAGGTAAAATAAAATTTTCATAAAATTAGTAAGAACATGTAAATTTTTGAAAAATAAACGTTTTTTCGAAAATTCGCCAAAAGCTTTCCGCTCTTATTCATCACAAGCAATTCAGTCTATCACAAACTTGTCAAATGCACGAGCTTTTTGCCGACATTATCACCTCGAAACAGCCCAGCAAAAGCAGATGGCACGCTTTCGAGGCCAGTGGATATGTCTTCGACTGCTCGCATTCTGCCATGGCGAAGATGGTCGGATGTGGACGATATGAATCCAGCGTACACGTGAAGGTGATCGAAGGCGAGGAACCCGCGGAGTGTGATCCGTTTATAGATCACATCGACCGTATCAAGCGCCAGTCGCTTGCCAGCGTCCGCGTATTCGGAGATTGCTCCGCATACTGCAACTCTACCAAAAAGGTTCATGTTGGCGACTGCAGCCTCTAACATCGCAGAACCAACGTTGTCGAAGTATATGTCGATTCCTTCCGGGAAGTACCTATTCATAAAAGTAATCAGGAAGTATGAACTGCTGCTTGCAAAGATCGATACAAGATGGGATCTGTCTTACCTTCTAAGAGCAGACTTTAGATCAGGTTCTTCTTTGTAGTTAAACGCGTCATCAAATCCAAGCTTCTCTTTTAGAAGATCCACCTTCGTCTTGCTTCCGGCGCATCCCACGACGTAGCAGCCAGAGAGCTTGGCGTATTGGCCGACCAAACTCCCCACCGAACCGGATGCTGCGGAGACGAAGACCTTCTCCCCCTTCTTCGGCTTGCAGATGTCGTAGAAGCCAGCGTAAGCTGTCAATCCACTCGTCCCTGCGGCAAACAGCAGTGCGTTATGATCAGAGTGTCTCGTGGCCTTCTCCGTCTGTCAATCTTGTGGATCCATTTCCTGCGTCTCTCTGATAATTACCTAAGATGCTCGCATGGTATGACAGGGGGAACTCATGCGGGTCAACCTTGGTCAACGTGGTTCCCGGCCGGACGACCGTGTATTCCTCCCAGGCCAGAAGTCCGACCACCACATCGTCTCTTTCGAACTCCTCGTTCCCTGAGACCACGACCTTCCCCACTCCGAAGGCATCGATTCTCTGTAGCAAAGGTCGCCAGATGCACGCCGAGCTCGTGAAGAAACAAGCTAGCAAACCCAACGAACGACGATAATTAACAGGAAGCTCGCCTGCCAGGGCTGGATGCGTGTTGCAGCAGCAGAGGTCTTCTGTGTGGAACTGTACGTCTTCATGCGGTTGAGCTGGTAGGGATCGATCGACAGGAACAAGTTCTTGACGACTACTTCCTTGGACCCCTGCGCGACGGAGAGGACAAGCGGCGCGCTCCGGAGCTCGAAGTCGGACTCGGTGGGGAGGCCATCGATGGCGTGCTTGATGATGATGTGCTTGTTCTCCAGCTCCATCCTCGCTGCGCTCCCTGTTCTTCCCAATGGTGGCTACTTAATGGTCCCTCTCTCCGTAAATAGAAACATGTGGAGCAGCCGGAACAGCGAATCAGGCAGAAGGGGTATCACCGTTCGGAAAGATAAGTGTATCCACATCCTCTTATTATTTTAATATTTTAATACTATATTATTATAATTTTAAATTATGAAAATTATGATAACATATTATGAGGATTCTATTAATAATAAATATCATGATATCAATATGATTTCCTAAATTATAAAATAATTTAAAAAATAATTTTATTTATTATTGATTAAGATAATTATGTAATTATCATATTTTATAATCTCTTTGTATATATAAATTTTAATTAATTATTTTTTGTCTTCTGATATCATAGCCATAGTTACTTCAAAGAGGTTTTTTTAAATATTTTTTTTGCTATTATTGTTTTATACTTTTTTTCTTAGGTAATTTTTTGCCACTATTATACTTTGTAGCATCTCTTTCATCATGATTGAATATAGAATTGCAGTTTCTATTTAGCTTTATGCTCTAGTTAATCTCTTTTTCTTGTAAGCGGTTTTGAAATTTTTTTTCTCCATTTTTTGATATGATCGGTGATATATGTTCAACTAGTCACTCATCTCATGTCACCCCCAATTCTTTTATTCTTGAAAATACTCTTCTCTTCATTAATAATGTAATCGAAGCTCCTCTCAAACTCAAATCCACATATTATACCTCTTATTATACTTAATTTTATTTAATCGATTATGATTTTATTGGTTATGTAAACAGTATCATCACTTGCCCTCTACAAATGACTAGAGAGAATAACTTTAAGGTTATTAATCATAAATACACTTTTTGGATTCCTAAATATCATCATCTTCTTTTGAGTATCATCATTGCCCCTCTCTTTCCTTAATCTCTAAAATTTTCAAAGCTTACAATAATGTACATCAACCAATACCTAATGTAACTTCACGAAACCCTCTTAAGAGTATGAAAGAGTACATAATTTATTTCTAAGAGTATAAAATCTATTTCAAATTATAAAAAACTTCGAGTGAATTTCTAGAAAAAATATTTACTTTTTTGAAATTCTTCACATAATATTCATATTTTGAAAAAAAAAAATTAATTTTTTTTAATAATCATTTTATCCTTAGTTACCTCCTTCACCCAACTCAGCCCATTAGCCATAACCTGCATTGTCGCCCTTGTTAGAATCCAACATTCGACGATGATGATGCTCGCTTGATGCTAGTGAAGTGCAAACTTATACGCAACGAATGGGGGTGATCAACTCTCGCACGAGGATTATAGTAGCGGGAGCGATATGCATAAAGAAGGAGGGTTGCGGGCTACCATAAGGGTTACATGTAATGGTGGGATGACAAAGGTAACGATGAGTCCATTCAAAGAAGGTAAAATAGTTTTTTCATAAAATTAGGAGCGCTGTTTCATAAGTTTTCAAAATAAGAACGCGTAAAATTTTGAAAAATAAACGTTTTTTCGAAAATTCGCCCAAAAGCTTTCCGCTGCAATTCAGTCTATCACAAACTTGTCAATTGCACGAGCTTTTTGCCGACATTATCACCTCGAAACAGCCCAGCAAAAGCGGATGGCACGCTTTCGAGGCCAGTGGATATGTCTTCGACTGCTCGCATTCTGCCATGGCGAAGATGGTCGGATGTGGACGATATGAATCCAGCGTACAGGTTAAGGTGATCCAAGGCGAGGAACCCGCGGAGTGTGATCCGTTTATAGATCACATCGACCATATCAAGCGCCGCTCGCTTGCCTGCGTCCGTGTACTCGGAGATTGCTCCGCATAATGCAACTCTACCAAAGAGGTTCATGTTGGCGACTGCAGCATCTAACATCGCAGAACCAACGTTGTCGAAGTATATGTCGATTCCTTCCGGGAAGTACCTATTCATAGAAGTAATCAGGAAGTATGAACTGCTGCTTGCAAAGATCGATACAAGATGGGATCTGTCTTACCTTCTAAGAGCAGACTTCAGATCAGGTTCTTCTTTGTAGTTAAACGCGTCATCAAATCCAAGCTTCTCTTTTAGAAGATCCACCTTCGTCTTGCTTCCGGCGCATCCCACGACGTAGCAGCCAGAGAGCTTGGCGTATTGGCCGACCAAACTCCCCACCGAACCGGATGCTGTAGAGACGAAGACCTTCTCCCCCTTCTTCGGCTTGCAAATGTCGTAGAAGCCAGCGTAAGCTGTCAATCCACTCGGCCCTGTGGCAAACAGCAGTGCGCCATGATCAGTGTGTCTCGTGGCCTTCTCCGTCTGTCAATCTTGTGGGTCCATTTCCTGCGTCTCTCTGATATGATTACCTAAGATGCTCACATGGTATGACAGGGGGAACTCATGCGGGTCAACCTTGGTCAACGTGGTTCCCGGCCGGACGACCGTGTATTCCTCCCAGGCCAGAAGTCCGACCACCACATCGTCTCTTTCGAACTCCTCGTTCCCTGAGACCACCACCTTCCCCACGCCGAAGGCATCGATTCTCTGTAGCAAAGGTCGCGAGATGCACACCGAGCTCGTGAAGAAACAAGCTAGCAAACCCAACGAACGACGATAATTAACAGGAAGCTCGCCTGCCCGGGCTGGATGCGTGCTGCAGCTGCAAAGGTCTTCTGTGAGGAGCTGCACGTCTTCATGCGGTTGAGCTGGTAGGGATCGATCGACAGGAACAAGTTCTTGACGACTACTTCCTTGGAGCCCTGCGCGACGGAGAGGACCAGCGGCGTGCTCCGGAGCTCGAAGTCGGACTCGGTGGGGAGACCGTCGATGGCGTGCTTGATGATGATGTGCTTGTTCTCCACCTCCATCCTCGCTGCGCTCTCCGTTCTTCCCAATGACAACTAGAAAGGTATCTAACGATCCCTCTGTATGTAAATAAAAACATTTGGAGCAGAGGAAACAGCCAATCTGGTAGAAGGTGTATCACAAACAACCATCGCCGGCGAAGCTGTATAGATAGCATCGAGTATTTTGATCCCGTACAACACTACGGACACTTCTATCGTGAGTAGCATCTGCCTAAGGCGTGGCTTGGAATCTTTGTCGTAATCGGTTGATACGAGCTGTATTTTTTGTCATTTAGCATTCCACATGTGGATTTCAGTCAGCATTTGTCGGATATATAATATCAGCTTCCAAGATGACAAGGAGTTTATTGGCTGATTTGAGCGTTGACCTCAACGTGACTTGCATAACCGACTGAAGTAAGAATTAATATATAATGTACTGTGTTTTTATTGTCTTCCAGTTATGACTCGAATAAGATTTTTTTTCTTTTTTTTGCAAATGTAAGTGACAAATGTGAAATTCGAATTCAGAACGTTATAATAAAATATCAAAACTTTTATCAGCTAAATTAATTGATATTTTTATTTAGTACAACTGATGATAATTAAAGCCCATTTGACAAAGAATTCATCTAATGACATTTTTCATGTTGACACCCTCTTTTATTTTAGGTAGCCTTCGTTTAATGTAATTGACTATCGTGTTGCTTCTGCCATGATGGATGCAACTAACACCGGTATATAGCTACTCATCAACGGAACCTTTTATCGTTACTCAACCAAAACTAATTTAACTAACCCGTATCGATCATCTTAACATCACAATCGTTACCTTAAAAGTAAATCTAATTCACCTTGACAGCCTTTTAACTAGTTTTGAGGCACATGGCAAAAGTATTTAGTGTCTGATGGGTGCACCGATGATTAAAAAAATTTTAAAGTGTATGACGTAGTCGATAATATCTAAAACTTATCTTTTAACGTAAAATGCATATGACAAGGAAAGAAAGTAATCAAAATGCTTGATGCAACTCGAAACATTGCTTTTACCATCATGTGTATATACCCAATACACAAAAGCATCTTAAAAGCATAATCCTTATAATCGATACATCTCAAGTCAAAAGAAGAAGGGGATGACATGTGTATGCCCAATACACAAATGCATCTTAAAAGCATAATCCTTATAATCGATACATCTCAAGTCAAAAGAAGAAGGGGATGATCGAACATAAAAATATTCCTCTAATGTCTTATGCATTCGTACGATGTAAAACGCAACTAAGCACCACATAATAAGTACCTAATATAGATAATAACAACCAAGGCTTCTAAAACAAAAATTATGTTTTGAAATAATAGCGATAGGAATAATATAATAAATTTTTTTTATCAAGACATATGAGTTCCATTCAACGCATACATAGACATGCCATCGACACGACAAAATTATCTTTTATTAAACTAATAATTGTAAAGCTAACAATATATAAAATAATATATTAAAAATGAGCTCATTAAAAATATAGAACTCACAATGGGCCTTTTACGTCAACAATTAAAGAACAATTAAAAAAAATAAAATTCACTTCGGCCCTTTTAACATATAGACACTATCTTGATCATAGATAGAGACCATCGACTAATGAGTTAAGTTGATTGATTCATCATCGAAGGTATATATCCTTCCTGATGACTTCTTATTGATAGAAGAGTTGACGTGGCTAGCCAATGTAGAGATTCTGCTAAGGGAGGTGATTCGAGTGGTTTGACTTTGGTATGGAGAAGTTGAATAGGAGAGCTAGATTCTCCTAGTTGCCGAGGCATCTCCTAATTGTGTCTCCATACGACGTCGGGTGTCATGCACAACTGGTCTATGCTGGGGCATCCCAACTCAATTCCTTTGATGTTGAAATCAACAAAAGATAAAAAGAGAGGAATACAATAGTATAAGTAGTGTAAATGAGATAATAGAAGATTTTGGTCTGCCCCCTATCTTGGTCTAGGGCTTGACTTTTATATTTAAACGTCAAACGGTTTGGATGTGCATTAGCCAAGACACCCCTTACCTTGTTTAGTGGGGACATTAACGAGAGTGGTTTATTGACACGTGTCCTCTGGTGTCTTGAGCGGATTATTGGGATGTCATTGGATTGACTCCATTGCCTCTTTGTATTAGGTAGAAAGTGGTCTCTCCATCGATTATATGGAAGGGAAAGCTAGTGAAACTGGGGACATGACTTATGTTGAGATGTCAGTCAGGAGGTGACCGGAGAAGCCCGGATATGTTGTCAACCATTAATATGAACATATTTTTCAATTATGATATCAATAAGGAGTGACTTTTGATTTCCGAAGACATTACTCACATCATATTTCACAAGATTTACCTCTGTCATATGTGACCAATTCTAAAAATTGTACGAGTCATATCAATTTCACTATATTGGATTAGTGATCAAAATCGATGATATCTGTCATCGATATACTGAAAATAACATCGAAAAAAAAAGAAATCATTTATATAATTTTTTAATAATAAAATTTAGTAGATTCTGCGCTTAGGTAGTTCCACAATTTTTACGGGTATCGTGAGACTCACATGTGAAACCATGCTAAATAATGTGTTTTCATATATGTTATTTTTATCAGAAATTTTTCATATGAACCATATAAACAACAGGCAAAAATAATATAAGACGAGGAGAAAACTTCTGCTTTTAGTAAAATATTTTCCAGATATAAGAAAATATAAACTATTCCCTAAACATCCTTAAAATGATTTGTTGTTTTTAGAAAACTGAAAACAGTTTCCAGAAACACAACCTGACAGCCACCAAGTTTCCGCTTCAGAAATCATTAAAACACTGGCAACGAAGGTTGGGTCACACGGGGATGCGTCAAGCGGGTGCGGTTCGACTCGGCCAGCTTTGGTAGGCCGGTCTCCCGCCACCTCGGATCGGAGTCAAAGAAAAAGCCCGCCCTCATTTCCGGCTTATTAGGGTTTCAAATCACCCCCCTCGACGGCCTCTCTCTCACTCTCCGGGAAGCTAAGAAGGGCTTATTCCTCCTCTCCCTTCGCTTCCCTTGATAGGGTTTCCGACGACGAAGCCCTAGACGAAGGAAGCGATGGTCTCTCCGCGCGAGCTCCTGTCGACGATCGAGGCGGCCCTCCTCGGCCCCTCTCCTCCCACCCCGACCCAGCGGATTGAGCTCATGCACGCCATTCGTTCTTACATCCCGGCCCTTAAGTCCTTTCTTTCCTATCCCGTACAATCTCTCTCCCCTCCTGCTTTCCTTGTTGTTATTACCGTATATTTTTTCTGTAATTCTTGTTCACTGTTTTTGGTTTGTGGCGTGCAGGGTCCCAGTGCATCCGATAGGGCTCAGGTCGAGTCCAAAGAAGTCAGGCTTAAGGATTTGCCTCCAATATTGCTTGATGACACCGACGTTCAGATCGTAAGTCGTCTATTTTATGGTGTCTCTAGTTTGTCCATTTCACCGCTTGTTTGCTCATGGGAGTCTGTGATTTCTCTGTTCTGTGCTCACCATTTTTCCATGTCTTTGATTTTGCCATTTTTTTCGTTGGCTATATCCTTTTCCACAGTTTTGCATAAATTTTTTTATTATCAATTCTCATTTATGCCCTGAAAATGTATTGTGAAGATTCATAGTTTGAAGTACTCTTTTTGAATATCATCATTCTTACCAGAAAAAAAATCACCTAACTCTAGATCATTTCATGTTGGAATATCTTTTTGGCGTGACTTTGTTTCTTAATTGACAGCTGTTGGCACAACTCACAAATTGTTTGATTCTACAGATTGTATGGATATTAGTGTTTGTCGAATTAATTGAATGCCACCTTTCGTTGCATGATGCTGCTTTTGCATGCTAGTGTTGCCTTTGCATTGATGAAATGAATGTTATCGGAGGACTTAGTTGCAAAGGAAGTCTAAATCGCTACTTGATGTAAAATTGGAAACTATATTATGTTGACCATGAAAGTGGAATTGCATTTTTGTGGATAAGATGGAACAATTGCAAAAATGCTTTTGACTAAATACTCAGAGGATAAGCCCATAACTTTTGTTTGCTCCTTTAAACATTTGGTGGATTATGAAGGGTTTAGGGTTTGGGATTTTAAGTTTTAGGGTTTGGTGGTTGTCCTATCTATCTAAGCTGAACCTCATGAGGTCTGAGAGTTGTAACTTATTAAAAGTTACTTGACATGACATATTTACGCACATTGCTTGAGCCTCCCTCGAATGCAGGATTTGGGACGGTCAATGTACTTAGTTCTACTCCTGCAAGCAAAGACTATGTTCATTTCATAGTAACAATAGTTACCTTCATCCTTTATGCTTTTTGTTAAATGGAATCTTTTTTTTTATAATGACTACTTAACAGACAGTTGCTTAAGAAAAAAATAATAGGCTGTGGACATTGTGGTATTACAGAGATGAGACCTTTTCTGATTTCTTCTGCCTTGTCCCCATTAGTTTTTGAATTTCCTGTTCATATCGATTCAGGATGGGTACAACAAATGTGCCAAACATTTTCCAAGTACCACGGGAAGCTTCAGATGAAGAATATGGGTTTTTAAAATTCTTGATCATGGATGTTGATGGTAACACATCAGCATTCATCAAAGAGTTTCCACTGTATGTTTCTGTGATATATACCCTCAATATATAACATGGATATTCTACTTAAATTGTGCTTTATACTAAAAAAGAGCTGGTGGCATTTGTACCCAGTACTAGATGTTCATGTTTTAAGTTACCAAACATTTGAAATGTGTTCGAAGTGTACACATCAGATTTGACAGAGTAATATGTATTTATCTGGCCGGTGTACATGCTTCCATTCTGTTTCCTTCTAATATAATATTACCCTTGCTTATTTATTGGCAGCTTTTATGTGATTCAGTGATCTGACATAAGTGGCCTGTGAGTTATAATTTATCTTTTGAAATTTATCTATTTTCTATCCTATCCCTAATTCAATTTTCCAAATTTGTTGTGAATGTAGGCACTGAAATTGAGTGATGACCTTAATCTCAACGAGATCGAATGTGTTCGTTTGCTTGTTTCAGCAAATAAAGAGGTAAGTTATCCTTGTTTAGAAATTTTTTGGAAGACTATGTTTGTCCTTGAAATCAGCATATTGACCTTGTTTACTAATGATTCATGTCAGTGGGTTCTATTTGGACGGGAACCATTGGAGATGTTCCGTCTTG